TTCTTTTTTTAAAGACAGGTTCTCCCTTTGAGTTCCTGACTGACCTTGAGCTCTCCTGGCCCACTGGCTCCTGCCTGCTGAGTGCTGCAATTAAAGGTGTACACCACTATGTCCTGCCTTCATATTTAATTCTTACTGACCTCAATGTCCTCACCCATCTACTCACTCATCCAGAAGGGGAGATCAGACACACAGCACTCCATGTTCAGCCCAATCGCCCATCGTGCTACAAAAAGCACCAGCTACTGTCATACCTTCTCTTTACTTCTTCACTTTCTGTGGGTTTTTTGTTTGTTTGGTTGGTTGGTTGGTTGGTTTTTCCTCCTCCTCCTCCTCCTCCTCCTCCTCCTCCTCCTCCTCCTCCTCCTCCTCTCTATCTTCTTCCTTTCATCAGAGACTTTCTCTGTGTCTTGGCTGTCTTGGAATTCACTCTGTAGACCTGGCTGACTTCTAACTCACAGAGATACGCTCAAGTCTGCCTCCCAAGCTCTGGAGTTAAAAGCATGTGCCAGGACTGCCTGGCTAATAGTTTGTGTTTTGTGACAGGGTCTCCTGTAGCTCAGGCTGTGAACTCTAACTTGCCTTGTAATGAAGGATGACCTCTAACTTCCGGTCCTCCTGCCTCTACCTCCATTTATTCCCTATCAATCATCCAAAAAGAGAGCTGGAGGGATGGCTCAGGGGTTAAGAGCACTGGCTGCTCTTCCAGAGGTCCTGAGTTCAATTCCCAGCAATCGCATGGTGGCTCACAGCCATCTATAGTGAGATCTGGTGCCCTCTTCTGCCCTGCAGACATACATGCAGGCAGAATGCTGTATAAATAGTAAATGAATAATACAAGAAAAAAAAAAACAAACATAAAAAAACAAAAAGAGGAAGTCATGGTCCGTCCGTCCCCCCTGTGTTTTTCAGAAGCAAACTGGTCTTTAGACACAACAGGGCTTAATAGAGGTGGAAGGAATCTTAAAGTCACATTGGTTGGCCCTGTCCCTTTACAACTGAGGTAATATTTTTGCAAGTGTATTTAGATCATAGCCAATTTCAGCTCTTCTGGACCCCTATCCTAGGCTACTTCTAGGAGTGGTAGCTCTTGTGGAGAGGCTGAACACCTCAGAATGTATGAACAGCCCCAAATTGTGTCATCCTGTTTCTTTACAGAAATAGCAGTCTCTCCTGCATATACATATCTCTCATTGTCACGGCAAATCTATAAAACGGGCTTTTTAGCATCAGAAAAAGAACACAGGGTCTGCTTCATAGGACCCAATAAAATCTGAAAATGACTTGTAAATGGCAACATATAAATAAGAAGAAATAATACTGGCCAGCAAGATGGCTCAGTGAGCAAATGTGCCTTTCATAGAACTGTATGATTTCAGTTCAGTCCCTATGATACACATGGTGGAAGGAGAGAAGTGACCGCCAAAGGTTGTCCTCTGACCTCTACAAGTGTGCCATGGCACACACACACTCACACAGGGTACCCACAAGCACACAGAATTAATTTTTTTAAATGTAATAAAAATAAAGATAATAAACACTACAAATTCAATGTTATAAAAATATAATGGAAGAGCATGGACATTAGGTCTTGTGGTTCACCTCACCTAAACTGTTAGTAGAGGTTGTTCTTTACTGTGTGATAAAGAGATAATGAAACTTGTTCTGTAGGAGGCCAAGAAGATTAGTGACTACATATGTCAAGATCCCAGGTATCTGAGGGTTTCTATTGCTGTGATGAAACACCACAACCAAAAGTAAGTTGGGGAGGAAAGGGTTTATTTGACTCACACTTCCATATTACTGTTCATTATCAAAGGAAATCAGGACAGGAATTCAAACAGGGCGAGACCTGAAGGCAAGAGCTGATGCAGAGGCCATGGAGGAGTGCAGCTTACTGGCTTGTTTCCCATGGCTTGTTTGGCCTGCTTTCTTGTTTGTTTGTTTTGTTTTGTTTTTGTTTTCCAAGGCAGGATTTCTCTGGGTAGCCTTGGCTGTCCTGGACTAGCTTTGTACACCAGGCTGGCTTCAAATTCACAGAGATCCACCTGTCTCTGCTGCCAGAGTGCTGGAATTAAAGGAATGCACCACCGTGCTTGGCTAATAATTTTTATATCTTTTGAAATTATAATTACAATGTTCCAGTGTTCCTTCCAAGCCCCTCCCTGCTCTCTCCCAGATTCAGGCCTCTTTTTCTTTGTTTATAAATATATATTCCTAAATACAACATCAACCTGCTTAGTTTGTATATTGTATATGATTTCAGGGCTGTCCACTGGTGTTTGATAATCAATGTGTGTGGGGGAGGACATCTTCCTTAGTTGCCCGAACTTCATTGTCTAGGATTGAGGCCCCTTGAACTTCCCGTCAGCATATCCACTGATGGTGTTGTTCAGGTCTTATTTAGGCAGATATGTTAAAAGATTTCATGAGTGTAATATCTCTTACATTTCTAAAGACACAGTTCTCATGGCAAACTTCCTGTTTCTCTGGCTCTTACAGTCTTTCTGCTCCTCTTCTTCTGCAATGATCTCTGAGCCTTAGGTGCAGGAGTTGTGTTGTATACTGGATGCCATAAAGCCCTTGCTCTCTGCTTTTTGATTGGTTGTGGTTTTCACTAATAGCCTCTATCTATTGCACAGAGATGTTTATTTGATAAGGAGTGAAAAGATAATATAATTTTTAATGATAACACTTAAATTTACAATAACATACTTTATCTAAAATAATTTTCTGGTAGCTTTCTTTCTTTCTTTCTTTTTTTAGAATCATGTTGCAGTCTGGTTTTGAACTCCTCCCAATGTAGCCAAGAATAATCTACATTATTCTTGGCTCCTAATCTTCCTGCTTCTACCTCCCAAGTGCTGCAATTATAGATAGATGCCACCACACCTGGCTTTGACGTTTCTATTACTTTTATTTATTTATTTATTTATTTACTCGTGTGTGTGTGTGTGTGTGTGTGTGTGTGTGCGTGCGTGTCTGTGTGTGTGTAGATCGTAGATCCGAGGATAACTTTTGGGGAGTTGTTTCTCCTCTTCCATCATGTAGGTCCTGGGGATTGAACTCAGGTTGTCAATCTTGGCAACAAGTGCCTTAACTCACTGAACCATTTCTACTGGCTCCACGCCTGCCTCTGAAATTTTAAAATGGGGGCTGGAGAGATGGCTCAGAGGTTAAGAGCACTAGCTGCTTTTCCAGAAGTCATGAGTTCAATTCCCAGCAACCACATGATGGCTCACAATCATCTATAAGGTTTGGTGCCCTCTTCTGGCGTACACGTGATATATATAGGCAGAACACTGTATACATAATACATGAATTAAAAAGAAATTTTAAAATAACACCCCAAAATTCTAGGCGTGATGATGTACACCCTTTAAGGTAAGCAGATCTAAGTTTGGGCTAGCCTGGTCTACATAAAGAACCCCAGGACAGCCAGCACTACACAGAGTGACTCTATTTCAAAAGAACCCCAAACTAAATCCAAAGGAAAAAAAAATCCAAAGAATAATAAAATAGCTCAAAAAAAAAAAGATGTTCCAAGGTTTCGTAAGTTACTTCTCTACTGTTGTGAAGAGCCATCACGACCAAGACAACTTATAAAAGAAAGCATTTATTTGGAGCTTACAGTCTCAGAGGGTTAGAATCCATGGCCATTTCGGCAGAGAGCATGGCAGCAGACAGGCTGGCATGGTGTTGGAGCAGTATTGAGAGGTGACGCCTTTATCCACAACGAGGCACAGAGAAAGGGAGAACTAACTTTGGGTTTTTGAAATCCCAAAGCCAATCCCCAAGGACACAGCTCCTCCACAAGGCCACACCTCCTAATCCTTTGCAAACAGTCCCACCAAGTGGGGACCAAGTATTCAAATATATGAGCCATTCAGACCACCACAGAAAGGAATTAGTGAACTGTACTGTTTATTACTACGAATGTTTTTAATCCCACTGTGTTCCCCAGGGCAGTTTAGGCCTTCTGGGCTCATGCAGTCCTTCTTCCTCAACTTCCAGAAGAATACAGCTACAGGCATGTGCCACACTTGCCTATCTGAGAGCCCCTTAGATTTAGGAAGAAAAAAGTCCGCAATGCCTGGTAGTATACATCTGTAATTTCGGCACAGAGCAGGTGAAGGCAGGAAGATTAGGAGTTAAGGCCAGCCTTCCCTGGCAGCGAATTCAGTTCGAAGCCAGCCTGAGCTCCATGAGAATCTACCCCTACAAGTCAGTCAAATAAAGGAATGTTTAAAATCTTCATGTAATTTTTGGGGGCGCTAGGGATTGAACCCAGGGCAGGAGGTTACACACACAGTACTCTGTAGATGATGTTTAAGAGCATGGGCTTTAGCGTTTCACCTAGCTGATAATTTAAAGTTTTTTTCTTGAGCCTGAGATAGTTTCCTTATCTACAAAATGATAAAATGATAGGCATGCCACGGCTCTGACTTTAGAACTAAATCAGATTATATTTCTAAAAGTATTTAGCGCTTCACCAGGTATCCTCTTAATCAATACTGGCTGCTTTTCCCCTGCTGGGCAAAACCGAGGGTGGTAAAGAGGAAGGATGCTCCACAAGGGGCAGGGCACCTTCATGTTCGTCAAGGAAAAGATCCCAGGGGAACCCGCTCTTTCCAGAACACATCCATCACTGCCCTCCCACAGCCAGGATCTTCCCATAACCACACCCCTTTCTAACCGCTCAGTCACACCGCCTTAAGGTGCACGGCTCCTTCTCCATAATTTCTTCCTGCGGCGCCTCAGTCTTTCCTGTACCCCAAGTCCTTTATTTATCTCCCTCCCCTTCACTTGTTCTAATTTACCTCCCTCAGTAACTCTTGCCAATCAGGCTCTGTCTCTTTTTCCCACCGCCTTTCCGGGGTATTAGAAAGGAGGTCTGTGATTGGTTGTTCCGGAGCAAGGCGAGACCAATGAGAGGCAGACTTTTTCGGCTCGGCCGAGCAGCAAGTATCGTCGCCGCTGATTGGCTGGGGCGGCCGAGGCAGGAAAATGGCTGCGAGTTCTTCGGTAGTCTCGGTGGCAGCCGCCGCCGCGGCACCTCCGGGCGCGTCCGCCGGCGCGGATTTCTCCGACTTGCGGGAAATAAAAAAGCAGCTGCTGCTCATCGCGGGCCTCACTCGGGAGCGGGGCCTTCTCCACAGCAGCAAATGGTGAGCGGTCGGGGTCGGACGGGGCGGCGCTGGATCTCGGCCCGGGGGCTCGCGTGGCTCATGCCGTGTGTGTGGTGTTCCAGGTCCGCGGAGTTGGCCTTCTCCCTGCCCGCCTTGCCGCTGTCCGAGCTGCAGCCGCCGCCGCCCCTCACAGAGGTAAGGGCGTCGTGACAGCCGGCTTCCCGCTAACGGAGGGAGGTGGCCCAGGACGTCCTCGGCGCCCTGTCACTGGAGGGGAGCGAGCTGCTCGGTGGGAACGATGTAGTTGAAACGCGAGCATTTGAACGGGTCCTTAAAAGCGAATCGTGTGTGGGGGTCGGAAGATGTTTGTGCCTTGGAAGATGTTAAGCTGGAGAGAACTGGTAAATAATTATTGCTTAAGATTTCAGCCTTGTTGGAGCTGAAGACCCCTCCTGAAGAACCTTCAGGAGGCGTTTCAAAACCATTTAAAACTCCAGCTGTAGGAGATCCAGTACCTTTCTGTTCTTACGGGTACCCATATACATATACATATACCCATATGGTAATAAAGCTTAAAAAGTTCGTCTTCGTCCTTGTGCTAGGGAGATGGTTCAGTGGCTAGCGTGTGTGCCGCTCTTGCAGAAGACTATAGCTCAATTCCTGGTACCCAGGGCAGGGGCAAGTAGGGGTTGTTTATAATCCTCCTGTAACTCCAGCTCTTGGGAGAGGGGATCCAACACTCTCTTCTGACACCTTTTTCTGGCTTCTGAAACCTTCGCACGAATCCACATGAAGACACATGCATAAATACATACTATGCACACATACATACATAATTAAAAACAATCTTAAAAAGAGAGGGGCCGGAGACATGGCTCAGCAATTAGCAATATTTATTGCTCTTCTAGGTGATCTGGATTTGATTCCTAGCATCCATGGGGCCAGTTAACAGTTGCCTGGAACAAAGTTCGAGGAGGATCCGATGCCTTCTTCTGGCCTCCGAGGGTACTGGATATGGGTGTAGAGTACAGACATACGTAAGCAAACCACTCATGCACAGAAATTAAAACAACAACAACAAAACACAACCAATAAACACTTCAAACATTTTAGGTTTTGTAGACAACCTGGATAATGCTAATAAGAAACATTTGAAATGAAGCTTTTGCAGAAGAGTGAAATCATTCTTATTTACCATTGCTCTTCATTGCAAAATGATTAAGAGTAGGGTGTTTGGGCTGAGCTGTGTCAGATGCCGTTTATCCCAGCACTATGGTCTACAGAGTGAGTTCCAGGACAGCCAGGGTCAGAGAAACCCTGTCTCAAAAATTAAAGAAAGAAAGAAAGAAGAAAAGGCAGGATATGGTGGCCCACATCTGTAATTCCAGCACTTGGGGAAGCAAAAGCAGGTAGATTTCTGTGAGTTCAAGGCTAGCCTGGTCTACAAAGCTATTCAGAAAAACTCTTGGGGGGAAAAAAGTATGGGTTCAGGTTTTGAAGCTCAAATTACTGACATAGAGTGACTAAACTCTTAAGTCACTGTGGAGGTCCACAGTTTCCTTATCTGTCAAATGGGGATAATAATAGTATCTATGTTGTGTTGCTGAAAGAATTAAATGGGATTAAAGGTTTAAACTGCCTAGAAATATACCTGGGCTTAGTGACACAGGAGCTGCTCAGGAGACTGAGGACAGAGAATGCCAAGTCATGGCCTGCTTAGAATACAAACTAAATTGAAGCAGTTCTTGTATAGCATGTATAAGGCTCCAAGTTCAACCTTCAGTACCTAAAAAGCAAATACAAATAAAAGCTAAAAATGTACCAGGCACATAGATTCAGTAAAATGAACCATTCTCACTAACAGCGGGAGATGGAGTGCATGTGGCTTGCAAGTAGATTTTTATCTGTGTTTCAGGCATGTTCTTTAGTAATATTAGTGTTGGCAGGTGAATTTTAAGTGGCAAGCCTGCTGCTGCTGGCTTGGAACTCACTCTTTAGACCAGGCTGCCCTCAAACTCAGAAATCCACCTGCCTCTGCCTCCCAAGCACTGAGAGTAAAGCTGTGCACCTGCAGCCAGGCACAGTGGTGCATGCCTGTTATCCCAGCAGGTGGATTGCTGTGAGTTCGAGGCCAGCCTGGTCTACAGATAGAGTCCAGAAGAGCCAGTGCTATAACACAGAGAAATGCTGTCTCAAAAAACAATGGAAGGGAAGGAGGGAGGGCAGGTGGGCTGACCACCATACCAAGCCATGCATATATTATTTTTATATGACTTATTTAATCGTTGTGATTTGCATCTGTCTTATTAGCTTGTACTTCTCTGCACTGACTGTCACAGTGCTTAGGCGCATTGACGTTCTTGGGATAAAGCTTTGTTGAACGAGGAGGCAGTGAACACTATCAAGTGAGAGAAGAGCATCAGAAAATATCCCCCTCTCAAGAATCATGTCACATAGGTCCAGCAGAGAGGCTGACAGTTGGTCTCCTGGACCACAGAAGGTGGAGGGCGAGAACTGACTGTGGAAAGTTGTTATCTGACCTCTACAGCCATGATGTGGCATGTATGTGCATGTGGACACACACAATGTAAAATATTTAAGTGATTTTTAAGAACTCATGTAAATAATTGGGTTTTATGGACATTGTAGAAACCTGGCCATTATTGAATTATTACAAAGCGTTAGGCCTTGGTGAGGTTAATAGCTATGAGATGTGATTGCTGTGAGGTGTATTGACCTAGCAGCCTCTTTGCTGATTTGAGTACTTGTTTTTATTTTTATCTCTAAGGACTGTCATGGAAGAAACCTTCAAAACTAAGTTAGCCTTGATCAGTAGAGTAAACATTAAAACTTCAGGTGTTTTTTGTTTTGTTTTGTTTTGTTTTTCTGTTAGGAACTGCTAAGCAAGCACTGTTAACACCGAGTTACATTGTCAGCTCTCTGTTTTCTTCGTCAAAAAGATTTATTTATTTTCATTTTATGTGTATGAGTGTTTGCCTGTGTGTGTGTATGTGCAGCACATGTGTTTCTGGTGCTTATAGAAGCCAGCAGATGGTATGAGAGTCCCTGTGGGCCACCTCTCAGTGCTGGGAACCAGGCACAGGTCCTCTGCAAGAGCAGCCATCATCTTCTTTCTTGTTTTGTTTTTTCCAGACAGGGTTTCTCTGTGTAGCCTTGGCTGTTGTGGACTATTTTTGTAGACCAGGCTGGTCTCGAACTCAGAGATTCGCTTGCCTCTGCCTCCTGAGTGCTGGGTCCAAGCCTCTTCTTAATGTTAAACTGTTTCTCCAGCACCACTCTTTGTTTTGAGACAGGATCTCACTGGTCCCAAGCAGGGCTTAAATTTGCCATCTTCCTGCTTCAGCTTTCTGAGTAGCTCTAATTAAAGGCCTGTGTCACTAGGCCTGGGTGAAACTTTCATTTTAAAACCAGTTACTTCTGAATCACATTATCTCTAACTTTGAACAGAACATTCTGGGTGTGTCCTATAAGCAAAAATGAAGTAAAATTTGTTTTGTTTTTTCAAGAAAGGGTTTCTCTGTGTTGTCTTGGCTTGGCTGGCCTGGACTCTAAACCAGGCTGGCCTTGAAGTCACAGAGATCCACCTGCCTCTGCCTCCCAGAGCACTGGGATCACAGGCATGTCCCACCTTGACTGGCTCTACTTTCTTTTTTTTTTTTTTTTTTTTTAAGATAGGGTTTCATTATGTATGTGTGCTGGGTAGTTTATGTCAGCTTGACACAAGCTAGAGTTACCTAAAAGGAGAGAACCTCAACTGAGAAAATGCCTCCATAAGATCGGACTGTAAGGCATTTTTTTAAATTAGGGATTGATGGGGAAGGCCCAGGCCATTGTGAGTCATTCCCCTCCCCCCAGAGTAACGGTATGGTCCTGGGTTCTGTAAGAAAGCACACCAGGAGGAGCAAGCCAGTAAGCAGCATCCCTCCATGGCCTTTGCATCATCTCCTGCCTCCAGTTCCTGCCCTGCTTTTGATGATAACATGGAACTGTGAGTGAAATAAACCCTTTCCTCTCCAAGTTGCTTTGGTCATGGTGTCTCATTGCAGCAATAGTAACCCTAAGACACCATGGCTGGACTGAACTTGCTGTGTAGACCAGAGTGGCCTTGAACTCACAGAGATCTGCCTGCCCCTGCCTTTTGAGTGGTGGGATTACAGGTGTGCACCACCATGCTGTGTAGTGAGCTGAAGACAGCTTTTGGAAGTTGGTTCTCTCCTTCTACCATGTGGATCCTGGGGGTCAAATTCAGCTCATCAGGCTTGGTGACAGGCTGCTTTACCCACTGAGCCATCTTGCTGGCTCCAAAATAAAAACTCAAAAGCCATACAGTCCAAGTTGTAAAACTTTCTGAGTTATGAAGGTGCATAAGGAGTTAGGAATATTCTTCTGTGTGTATATGTACAGTTTTCATATTTTTTTTGGTAGTGTTTGCTGGTTTCAAACTTAATACATAGAACAGATTGGCCTTGCACTTTCAGTGATCATCCTTCCTCTGCCTACGAAGTGCTGAGATTATAGGCACCATACCTGACCTGGATGAATTTCATCATAATTCATGTAAAATTTTATTTATCTACTTATTGTACATGTATGTGTGTTTGTGCATGCCATGGCACATATGTTGAGGTCAGAGCTGAGCCTGCAGTTGATTCTCCCCTTATAGGTGGGCCCTGGGATTGACTCAGGTTTTCAGGCTTGGTGGCAAGTGCTCTTATCCTCTGAGCCACCTTTGCTGTGTGTGATAGGCAGGGATACTTACCATTATAGTATGAGGATGACCTTTTTTCCCCTCAAGATAGCATTGTTGCCTTTCCCTACCCTCCTCTTCTGTCCTTCTTTTGCCTTTCCTTGCCTTTTCCCTCTCTTTTGACACGGCCTCTTGTTTCATAGGCTGGTCTCAGACTTGCTGTAAAGCTGAGAGTGGCCTTGAGTTCCTCCTGCTTCTGCCTTCCAAGTGCTGGAGTTGTGGGCATACACTGGGGTCACAGTGAAAGTGCTGTGTCGGTGTTTGTGTGGGTGCTGCAGAGGCTAAGTCAGTTCGTCATGTATGTGGCACACACTGGACTCACTCAGCCACTCTTACCCTACCTTTCTTTTTTTTTTTTTTTTGAGACAAAGTCTTACTCTATAGCTCTGGCTGACCTGAGTCTCACTCTATAGACAGGCTTGGTTTGAATTCACAGAGATCTGCCTCCCAGCTGCTGGGATCAGAGGTGTGTGTACCACCATGCCAGGCTCCACTTTTATTTTTTTTTGGGGGGGGGGGAACAACTTTGGAAAAGCAAGTTCTTTGGCTTTACAGGTGATAATGTTTATTAAAAATACTGTATAAATGCATGTCCTTGTTGGCATAATGTTACTGTGTACTGTGTTACGACAGTTTGGCGAGGAGAAATAATTGTTCTTTCCTAGGTGAGCTTGGGCTGTCTTAGTCCTAATCACTCACATAACCCGTTTCTTGTAGGAAGATGCACAGGACGTGGACGCTTACACCCTGGCAAAGGCCTACTTTGATGTTAAAGAGTATGACCGGGCAGCGCATTTCCTGCAGGGCTGCAATAGCAAGAAAGCCTATTTCCTGTACATGTACTCCAGATACCTGGTGAGCTCCGCTTTGGGATGTTCCTCTGCCTTTGGTGAAGCACCTATATTTAGAACCAAGAGGAAATTTTTAATTAAAAAGAAATTATGTATAAGGATGTTTTACCTGCATGTATGTATGTGCCCCATGGGAGGCCTGGTACCAGCAGGGCCTGAGGGGGCGTGGGATCCCCTGAACAGGAGTTCAGACCACCGAGCCATTTCTCTAGCCTTGAAAAAGTTTAATTTTTAAATAGCTAGGCAGCAAGTCACCAAGTAAATGTACTTAATAATTATATTGTAGTACTAAAAAAAAAAAAATGATGCCAGGCCTAGTAGTACACTTCTTTAATTCTAGCACTTGGGAGGCAGAGACAGGCCTTGAATCTCTGAGCTCAGGGTCACCCTGGTCTACAGACAGGGCAAGTTCCAGGACAACCAGGGCTATGCAGAGAAACCCTGTCTCAAACCACCTCCCACCAAAAAGAAAAAAGAAAAGAAAAGAGAGGAACAAAGTTTAAAGAAATAGTAACATAAAAAAATGTAGATATAGCTAGACTAGATGGCACACGCCTATAATTCCAGCACACCTTCAATCCAAGCACTTGGGAGGCAGAGGCAGGCAGATCTCTGTGAGTTCAGGGCCAGCCTACAAAGTGAGTCCAGGACAGCCAGCACTATACACAGAGAGACCCTGTCTCCAAAAAAAAGGGGGGGGGGGGGACCAGGATGCACCATTTTTTTTTTCTTTTTCTTTTTTTTTTAGGACAGGGTTTCTCTGTGTAGCTTTGGCTGTCCTGGACTCACTCTGTAGACCAGGCTAGCCTCAAACTTAAAGATTCGCCTGCCTCTGCCTCCTAGTGCTGGGATTAGAGGCACCACCACCACCAGCCAGCTAAATTTTTTTAATACAAAGAACAGTGCAGCCTTGTGTAGCAGCACACACCTGTAATCCTAGCACCCAAAAGGCAGAGGCAGGAGGATTTCTGTTAAGGTTGAAGCCTGTCTGGTGTGCATTGAAAGTTCTAGGCCACTTATGGCTACAGTAGTGAGTGCCTGCCTCAGAAAAGCCTAAATAAATAAATGACAATGTAAATAAAACTAATGTTGTATTTATAATTGTCCCTTTGCTTGTTTTGGATCCTTTCTCACTATGTAACGCAGCCCAGGCCGCCCTGGGACAGTTCTCCTGCCGATAGCTTTTCCGAGTGCCGGGTTTACAGCCGTGCACTACCGCATGTAGCTTTTCTTGCCTTTTCAGTGTGTGATCCATGCATCTAGCAGAACTAGTTTGGGTGAGTTAGGGTAGAAAAAGAAACAGCTTTTGCTGAAGTTTTGGAGAAATTTTTCCTTAAGGTGAATGTATACAATTTAAGTATACAAGTCCAAATAATTCCTTTTCTCGAGACAGAGTCACGTGTAGCCCAGGCTGATCCTCAACTTGGTATTTAGCCTAAAATTATCTCAAACTCCTCTGATTCTCTTCTTTCCACCTCCCAAGTGCTGGGGTTGTAGGTGTGTGCTCCCGTGTTCAGTCCCAGCAGTGCTGGGAATCAAACCCGAAGCTTCCTATATGCTAAGCAGGCCCGCTGCCAGTTGAGCTACACCTCAACCCCTTTTTTGCTTTTATGTTAAGGCTTTACATTTCCTTATTTGTTTCTCTTTTTTTGTGAGAGATTGGGCAGCATGTGGAGGACAGCTTGGGAGAGCCGGGCTCTCTTTCTATCGTGTGCATCCCTGAGAGTAGAACTCTAGTCGTCAGTTAGGCAGCAAGCTCCTTTACGTGCCGACCATATTACTGGCTCCTTTTAAATTTTTATTCATGTACTTATTATTACATTTGGTTTTTTCAGGACAAGGTTTCTCTGTGTAGAATAGGCTGGCCTAGCCTAGAACTCACAGAAATCTGCCTGCCTCTGCCTCCCAAGTGCTTGGATTGAAGGTGTGCGCCACCAGGCCATGCCCAGTTTGATTCTCTTATAAAAAATAGAGCATTTCTTCATTTGGGCTATCTGATGATTCTTACCCATTTTTTGTTCTGGTATCCGTAAGCTGGCAAGCATAGTAAGCGGGTACATTCATGGTAGGCAGGCACTCTTAACAACTGCACTACATCTTCAGCTACAGTATCCATTGCTGGGTTTTGCCTGAGACGGACTTTTTTCTCCCCAAAGCACTTTTACCTGATACTGCAAAATGATTGGTTTTTCTCCACTCTAGCGTTCTCTCCACACTTAATCAACATGAGGCATTCTGTTTCCAATTAGAGCCGCTATCTCCTTCCACGTTTTTTTTTTCTTTAGTGTCATCATGAACTCATGGATTCTCATATTTTTAACCATTCTGTAATTCATTACTATATTTAAGTGTTTGGTGTTCAGTTTATTCCATATTTAGCCAGTGGGAACACCTGAATGAACAGTTGTTTATATGGTGGATGTTATTTTGCTTAGACATTAGTTAACCCTGTAGATAAAATCATGCTGCTAATTTTAGAATAACCTGGGGAAAAACTATTTGTTGATTTCTTTCTTTTTCTTTTTTCCCCTCTCTTACAGTCTGGAGAGAAAAAGAAGGATGATGAGACAGTTGATAGCCTAGGTATGATTTTTACTTTATTTTTTCCTGTCTAACCTTTTAGACAGAAAAGCAGGGCTGCATGCTTAGAGGCCATACAGACCATCCAGGTAACGTAATAAATAGACTGCGTGGCCCAAGCATACTGGAGAACTCATGACTGAGCTACTTTTGTCTCTCAGATCCACCTGAGGGCTGCTTGTGGGAATCAGCCTGGTGGCTTGTTTGCTTCCCTTGACCCAAGCCCTGCTTCCTTTCTGCAAGCTAAGGTGGAAAAGTCAGCTTCAGTTGAAGCTTCTGTCTAGTAAACGTTGATAGGCGAGGACTGCACAGCAGCCATCGTCTAGAGTAAATGGGCTGTGTGAGGGAGGGCCACCTGCAGTTACTGGAGGTTGCAGGTAGAATTTTGGTTGATAGTAACAGAAATCTGTGTGTGTGCCTAGGGATGAAAACGAACCTCCTTTCTTCAGATGAGGGACTGTTTCTCTCCTAGGACCCCTAGAAAAAGGACAGGTGAAAAATGAGGCTCTCAGAGAACTGAGAGTTGAGCTCAGCAGGAAGCACCAAGCGCGGGGACTCGATGGATTTGGCCTTTACCTGTGAGTGTTACAGGGGTCTGGAGCTGTCAGCACTACTTTGCCTCCTGAGTATAGGTTAATCTCAGGCCTAACCTCCCTCTTTCCCAGGTACGGGGTGGTGCTTCGGAAGCTGGACTTGGTGAAGGAGGCCATTGACGTGTTTGTGGAGGCTGCTCATGTTTTGCCTTTGCACTGGGGAGCCTGGTTGGAGCTTTGTAACCTGATCACAGACAAAGAGATGGTAAGTTTCATGGGAAACCCTTTGTAATCTGTGATAACCTTTGTTCATAGCTAGCTCTTTGCTGTGTCCCCAGCCCCTTTCACTGTTGTTTGTTTGTTTTGGTACAGTGTTTTACCTGTAAAGGCTGATCTGGCACTTCCTAGGTAGCCTAGGGGTTATTTAACCTGGTTGTTCTGCCTTCACATACATACCTCCCTGGAAGTGTAGGTGTCATGCCTAGCTCTATGGAGTCCTGGCTATCCTGAAACTCTGTGTAGACCAGGCTGTATCCCAAGTGCTGAGATTAAAGGTGTGTTTCACTATACCCTGTCCCAAAGGTTTTGTATTAGTTTTTATCTGTGAACTTCGTTTCTAGTATTCATATAGTAGTTGATAAAAGCAACTACACACTTCCTTTTGTTGCTCCTAAAGAGTGAAAGCTGGGCTAAACATGGTGGTGAATGCTTTAAATCCCAGCACCTGAGAGGCAGATCTCTGAGTTCAAGGCTATTGTGAGCTGTATATTCCAGGCCAGCCAGGGTTACATTGTGAAACCTTGTTTTAAAAACCACAAAAACTAAAGATATACATCTTTATTTTTTTCTCCTTCCCCCAACAATGGTTTGTGCTGCTAAGTCAGTGTCTGAAATGTATCTTTATTTGTATTCACCTGTTAGTTCCTTGAACTCAAAATATGCAAAAACAAGTATTTTATCTTACATATCAAAATCTCTCTTGCCTATATTTTTTCTTCTTTCCACCTCCATCATTATTATCACTACTCAAGATATCTGGCTTTCCAGTGGGGGTGGGTACAGTTGGTGTTGGTCATCGTAGGGTTTAAATCCTTCCCTGAGCTGAGAAAGCCCTCTCCCACTGATGTGCATTCAAGACAGCCAGTCTCTCCACCTCAGAGTCTGTTGCTTCCTTTTTCCTGTCCAGTGATGAAGCAGTGCCATGGCTGCTTTTCTATAGGAATCTTTGTCTTGGTTGCCTGTTACCTGTTAGCATCTCAGATCGGTATTACGTAAATAACTTCTGGTTTACACTTTTCCTGAATTTCCCAACTCATCCTGCATACCATTTCCAAAATTACTTTAATAAAATATTTTTAAAAAGACTTACTTGGTTTTATTTTATGTGTTTGGGTGTTTGCCTGAATAAATGAATGAATGAATGAATGAATGAATGCGCACCATATGTGTATCTGGTACCCAGGGAGGTAAGAAGAAGGCATCGGAATCCCTGGAGTTAACAGGCAGCTGTGAGCCATCATGTCAGTGCTGTGGATTGAGCCCAGGTCTGCTCAAGAGCACTTTTCCCTCACCTGAGACAGGTCTCTCTGGAGCCCAGCTGTCCTGGAACTCTGTATAGACCAGGCTGTAGATCAGGATTTCACAGAGATCCTCTTGCCTCTACCTCCCAAGCGCTGGGATTAAAGGTGTATACCACCATGCGCAGCCCCTTTTTATTTTTTTATAAGATGGCTTCGATATGTAGACCAGATTGGCATTAAATTAATGGCAGTCCTCCTGTCTCAGCCTCCTGAGTGCTAGGATTATAAGAAACCACGTAAAACACTTTGGGCAGGAATTTGAATGGGTTCTTACTGTGTCTTGTTCTCTACTGTGTGATGTGATCAACTTTTTTGCATATAGCTTCCTCAAACCAAGCTAGTTTCTTTGTATTAATCACCATAATCGTGTTACCTTTGACTGGAACGCTTTTTTTTTTTCCCTCTTCTCTCTGTTCCTATTTAGATTCTACTTATTCTCAAATTTTGTGAATTTTTGTTTGTTTTGTGTCTTGTTTTTTTGAAGTCTATCCTACTAGGTTAATTATGTATGTAAGTCAAACTTAGTGGGATTATCCTATATTTATTTGTAGGTGTTCTAATAACATTTTAGGGATGACTCCGTTTAGAGAGTAATGACCTTTCTTTGGTTCTTTTGGGAGAACGGCCAGATTATATTAAGTGTGTCCCTCTCTTCTGGTACCAGCTAAAGTTCCTGTCTTTGCCCGACACGTGGATGAAGGAGTTCTTCTTGGCTCATATATACACAGAACTGCAGCTGATAGAGGAGGCCCTGCAGAAGTATCAGCACCTCATTGATGTGGGCTTTTCCAAGAGCTCTTACATTGTTTCCCAAATCGCAGTTGCCTATCACAATATCAGAGGTGAGTGACTGCAGATGGGGTGCTGCCAGAGCCAACAGAGTGGAGGTGCAGTTAGTTGGGTTTTGAACTCTGCCCTCTTTCTGCAGATATCGACAAAGCCCTTTCTATTTTTAATGAGCTGAGGAAACAAGATCCTTACAGGATTGAAAATATGGACACATTCTCCAATCTTCTTTATGTCAGGGTAATTTGTTTCTCTTGATTGAGCTTGATGAAGCTCCTCTATTAGATTATCATGTTTTCACTAGCTGAAGAAAACAACCACAGGGTGCTTTTTTGGGCTCATGTGGTCTTCCTTTTTTCTTTCAGAGCATGAAGTCCGAGTTGAGTTATCTGGCGCATAACCTTTGTGAGATTGATAAATACCGAGTGGAAACGTGTTGTGTGATTGGTGAGTTAACTACTTTTATTTCCCTTAAGATCTCTCTTTATCTCTTTTTGTATTTTTTGGAGACAGGATCTCACTGTTTATAACTTGAGAACTTGCTTTGTAGACCAGGCTGGCCTTGAACTCACAGAGATAGCCTGCTTTTGCTTCTAGATGTTGGGATTAAAGGCAAGACAGAGTCACCACACTTGGCTTCACCTTGATTTCTTTGAGACAGGACCTGTTACTGACCCTAAGCCCAACCTTTTGTATAGACTGGCTGGCTTAAAACCCATCTTGCTAGCCCTCTTTTTGTTGTTGTTTTGTTTTGTTTTTTTCCAGAGAGGGTTTCTCTGTGTAGCCTTGGCTGCTCTGAACTCAATTTATAGACCAGGCTATCAAACTCACAGAGATCCACCAGCCTCTGTGCTAGCCCTGTTTTTATGATTACTTTTATTATATCTATTTGTGTGTATGTGTGCGTGTATGTACCAAGATATGTGTTCCAGGTGCACTGTGGAAGTCTGAGGACAACTTGAAGAGATTCTCTTTTTACCATGTGGGTCCCAGTGATCAAAGCTAGTGCCTTTAGCCTCTGAGCCATCTTGGAGGTTTTGTTTTGTTTTGTTTTGTTTTTCCTCTCTCTTTTTTTAATTTAAAATGTTATTTTATGTGTAAAGATATTTTTGCTTGAATGGTATGCCTGGTGTCCATGGAGGCAAGAGAGGGCTTGGTACCCTAGAACTGGAGTTACAGGTGGTTGTGAGCAACCATCTGGGTGCTGGTCCTTGAACCCAGGTCCTTTGGCACAGTAGCTTCTGCTCTGAACTGATGAGCCATCACTCTAGACCCATCTTAGAGGTTGTTTGAGTGTCCCAACCCTATCCCAGAATGACATGGAACTCTAGCCCACGCAGGCGTCTAACCTCTGGTGGGTCTTCTGTCTTAGATTTGCTAGGGTTAGGATCATGAGCTTCCATATGTGGCTTGCTTTTGAAATTTTTAATTAAAAAAATTTTGTGTTCATGTCCACCCGTGCATACTGGTACCCACAGAGGCCAGAGGTATCAGATCCCTCTGGAGCTGGAGTCACATGTGCTTGTGACCTCATGAATGTCATGGGCACTAAGAATCAAACTCAGGCCTTGTAAAATCATACACCGCCCTAGATGCTGAGGCACCTCTTCAGCTCTGTCTGACTTGCTTTTGGTTTTGTTTGGATTTCCTAGACAGGGTTTCTCTGTGAAGCCTTGGCTGTCCTGAACTCATTTTGTAGACCAGGCAGGCCTTGAACTCATAGAGTTCACCTGCCTCTGCCTGCTGAGTGCTGGGACCAAAGGCATGCACCACCACCACCTGGCTTGCTTTTATTTTTTATTTTTATTTTTTGTAATTTTTAAATTTTTTATTGTTTTGAGACAGTTCCCTCAGCTTCACCTAGCTTCAGCTTGCAATGTAATCAGTGGAGTTGACTGAGAATACTGATTCTCCTATCACCTCCCAAATGCCAAGATTACAGTCATGTGCTACCCCACTGTACATACATATATATATACATTTACATATATGTATATGTATGTGTGTATATATAAATGTATATGCACACACACATACACTTCACTCTGTAACTGTAGGTGAGGATGACCTTGAACTTTTTAGCCTCCTGACCACCTCTCGAGTAGTGAGATTACAGGTATTCCTTTTTTTTTTTTTTTTTTTTTTTAAGACAGAATTTATCTACAGAGCCCTGGCTGTCCTGGAACTGACTGTATAGGCCAGGCTGCCTAGAATTCATAGCTACCCTCCTGCTTCTACCTCCTGAGTACTGAGATTAAAGACGTGCCACCATCCCTGGCTATAGAGGACATAAAACCCTATTGTGAACTTAAGTTCACAACTAGTTTGAACTTAAGTAATCAGGCGTAGAGTACAAACAGTGAATGTAATTGATTTTTTTTTAATAAACAAACTAAAGCTATTTTAAAAACATAAAGAAAGTTTTTGTTGGTGACTTACCAGCATGGAGTTCTTTATGTAATTACTTCAAATTTTCATATTTTATGTATCTCATGTTCTCTGCAAGTTAGTATAATATTTACTGTGCAGACTATGTTTTGGTTGGCTTATTTGTGCACATATAATTTATACAAGGGAAATTTGATTTATTTATTTGGTTTTGGTTTTTGGAGACAGGGTTTCTCTGTGTAGCCTTGGCTGTCCTGGACTCTCTTTGTAGACCAGGCTGTCCTCAAAATCAGAGCGATATGCTTACCTCTGCTTCTTGAGTGCTGGGATTACAGCTGTAGGCCACATGCCAGGCTGTATATTGTTTTTGAGGTAAGGCTATAGCCTAGATTGTACTGGAACTCACTCTGTAGCCCAAGATGGCCTGCTCCTTTAGGCAGACGTGCTTCATCCTCCTAAGGGTCCACTGCATCCAACTAAAGAGTGGGCTTGTGCAATTTCATTTGTTCTGCTTGTTGTACTTTTTCTTTCTTAAGATACTTGTTTGAATGTGTTCTTGGTCCATATAAAACAGTGGTCCACAAACTTCCTAATGCTGCAACGCTTTAATACAATTCTTCATGTTGTGGTGACCCCCAACCATAAACTTTTTTGTTGTTACTTCCAAACTGTGATTTTGCTACTGTTATGAACCATAATGTAAATATCTGTGTTTTTCAATGGTCTTAGGTGACCCTATAAAAGGGTCGTTTGACCTCCAAAGAGGTTGAGACCCATAGAGTAATTAACACACGTCATATGTAATGGTTATGTGCTTTGTGAAAAAGTAGTCCAAGTTAGATTCTTACTTGTGCAATTATTTTTCTTATTTAACTGTATGAGAATCCTTTCTGGTTTGGACTGGGAGTTTGGGTCAATGGTAAAGTACTTGCCTAGGCACTGGATTCATTCTGTTTGTTTGTTTTTTGAGACAGGGTTTCTCTGTGTAGCCTTGGCTGTCTTGGCTGTCCTGCACTTGCTTTGTAGACCAGGCTGGCCTTGAACTCATAGAGATCTGCCTGCCTCTGCCTTCCAAGAGCTGGGATTACAGGCATGTGCCACCTCACCTGGCTTCAGGTTCATTCTTTAGCAATGACAAATGAAAAAAATAATACAGTTTTTGTTTAAAAAGAAAAGAAACCCCTTCATGTTTCATGTTAGCTCTAGTTGGTTCCTTAAAAGAAGAAAAGCTTTATTTTTGCTTGGTTTTTTTTTTTTTTTTTTGTTTTGTTTTGTTTTGTTTTTTTGAGTTTCACTGTGTAGCCTTGGCTGTCCTGAAACTCACTCTGTAGAACAGGCTGGCCTTGAACTCAGAGCTCCATCTGCCTCTGTCTCTGCCTCTGGAGTGCTGGGATTAAAGGTGAGCCACCACCACCACTGCCTGGCTAAGAAAAGCTTTATTGGAACAGTTAGCAAACCACAGTATTTACCTGTTTTAGATTCATGGCTTAAGGGATTTTTGTAGATTTACAGTTTTGTTAGCAACATTACAGTCTGAGTCTATCAGCACAAGAATTTTTCTTTGTCTCTTTGTAGTCAGTTCCTTGCCCTGGTTCCAGTCCACTGATTAGCTTTCAGGCTTATAATTTTTCCTCTCTCAGTAATTACATAAAATATAAAAATGAATAATATTATTTAGTATTAATAAAATATTATTGTCTGACTTTCCTCCTTTTTCTTTTCTTCCTTCCTTCCTTTCTTCTTCTGGCTGCCTAGAGCTTGCTCTGCAGACCAGAGTGGCCTCAAACTCGCAGAGCTCTGCCTACCTTTTCCTCCAAACTGCTGGGATTCAAAGCATTCTCCACCCACTCAGGCAGCATGCTTTTGAGACTTAAAAATATTTGTAACATCTAAAGTATTTATTTCTTTCTGGATTGTGTCCCATTGTTTGGATCTACCATATTTTACTTATCTATTCATAACTCATGGTAAGACAGGTAGCTTTTAGACTCTTAATATCTTTTATAGTATCCTAAACTGTTCTTTTCTCTTTTCACAAACAGTAATAGAACTGCTGTTATTCACAGGGAAGAAGCTCAGAGCTCTGCCTTTTTAATCCTTTTGGGAAATTGCTTTGAAGTCTAGGTTTAAAATAATATAGTTTAGAACCACTAATCTAAACAAAAATCAAGCCCAGGTATGGTAGAACACACCTTTAATCCCAGCTCTTGAGAGGCAGAGGCAGACAGATCTCTGTGAGTTTGAGGCTAGCCCACTCTATAAAGTGAGTTCAATGACAGCCAGGGCTACACAGAAACACTGTCTTGAAAAACCCAAAAATAAAATGAAATAAACAAAATTTACAAATTTAAACATGCTATAGAAAATTCTTATATTTCAAGAGTGTATATAATTGCTGTATATAGCCAGGTGGTGGTGGTGCATGCCTTTATTCCCAGCACTCAGAGACAGAGGCAGGTGGGTCTTTGTAAGTTCAAGGCCAGCAGGACACAGCCAAGGCTGCACAATGAAACCCTGTCTTAAAATACACACACACACACACACACACACACACACACACACACACACATGCTATATCTACATGAAATAAAGAAATGAGAACAGTTTTAATTTTTTTGTTTAACTTTTAAAGATTATTTTAATGTTTACAAGTATTTGCCTGTATGTGTATGTATATGTATGTATGTGTATATGTATGTATGTGTGTATGTGTCTGGTACAAGAGGAGGCTAGAATAGAAGAGGGTGTCAGATCTCCTAGCACTGTAGTTACAGGTGGTTGTGGGCTGCCATGTAGGCGCTGGGAACTGAACCTGGGTCCTTTGGAAGAGCACCTAGTGTTCTTAAACTGCTGAAACATCTCTCTAGCCCCTTTAGTTTTGTTTGTATGTATTGTTTTACTATGTTTTGTTTTGTTTTTTAATCAGGCAATTATTACAGTTTGCGCTCCCAGCATGAGAAAGCAGCCTTATATTTTCAGAGAGCTCTAAAATTGAACCCTCGCTATCTTGGGGCTTGGACACTAATGGGGCATGAGTACATGGAAATGAAAAACACATCTGCTGCTATTCAAGCTTACCGGTGAGCATCCAGTAGCGTGGGGAGGGGTGGAAGAACGTTTTCCTGTGCTGTCGGGTGGCTCTGGCGCACCTGTTTGTTGCTAACCTTGATTCTTCTGCCGTGTTACTGGTGTATTTTGTCTGTTTCGCAGACATGCCATTGAGGTCAACAAGAGAGACTACAGAGCTTGGTACGGCCTTGGGCAGACCTATGAAATCTTGAAGATGCCATTTTATTGCCTTTATTATTATAGACGAGCCCACCAGCTTCGGTAAGTTGGCTACTTGACAGTGTGGGAAGGGTTGACAGGATGCCATCTCGATGAGATCTAAAGGGCGTAGGTTGGTCACTTTCTCTTAGTGTCTTCTACTAGTGAGTTTATAGGGTAACTGTAAACACAGTGTAGTGTAGTTAAACAAGACATCTGATTGGAGAACGGTCCTTTCATAGATTTGGAAGAGCATGGGAATAGAGAGTAATCTTTCAGTTGAAGACTTGAGGTTCTGGTAAAGCCTTTGCCTTGACGATGTTACTCTTTTTCATAGTCCCAATGATTCTCGTATGCTGGTTGCCTTAGGAGAATGTTATGAGAAACTCAATCAACTAGTGGAAGCCAAAAAGGTATTTCTAATTGCAGCCTGGAGAATTTGAGCAGAAATCTGCTGTTTAGAAGCTGTTTGGGCTGTATATGCTGTGATTTTTTTTTTTCTTTTCTGTATTCTGTTCTACATGTATAGCAAAATCTAAATATTTTGTGGGTATACAGTATAAAAAGAAATGTAGGGATGGAGAGATGGCTCAGTGGTTAAGAGCACTGTCTGCTCTTCCAAAGGACCCAGGTTCAATTCCCAGCACCCACATGGCAGCTTACAACTGTCTGTACCCTGAATTCCAAGGGATCTGGCACCTTCACACTAATGTACATAAAATTAAATAAATTATAAAATTTTTTAAAAAAAGGAAAAAGAAATGTAGGCTGAGGTTATCAGTGTGGATGTCTATATGTAGCTTGGATCTATCACCGTTAGGAAAAATGCTCTGTATTCTGAAAGCATGAGTTTCTGGAAGGTGCAAATTGTTGCTCATGTGCAGTAGTCAGAAGTGACCTCTCTTTCTTTGACAGTGTTATTGGAGGGCATACGCAGTGGGAGATGTGGAGAAAATGGCTCTCGTGAAGCTGGCAAAGTGAGTGAATATTTCTGACACCTATATTGGCTTTCCTGAGTTGTTGATCATACATAGATATGTGCATGGAGAAGGGTGTGAAAATGCTGATTTGTCAGTTGAGCACCTTCCCTTCCTCTCCGTGTTATGAATGAACCCAGGATCTTATACACACTGGGCACAGAGTTACATTCTAACCTGAGTCTCTTGACTCCAGAGAGTGCCACTTCATTTTGAGTTGGAAATAGGTTTCCTATCAGGCAAGAGTTGCAAAGTGAATTGAAAAACCATGACTAGACTATGAGTGTAGTTAAGTGGTTGGGGACTTGCCTAGCATGCAGCAAGTCTATGTTTGCTCAGTACTAGTCAGTTGTTTGGTATAGTACACATTTTCACCAGTATTTGCAAGGGTATATTATCCACTGTCCAGTTTAAGTTAACTAATCTTTTAAAAAACATTTTTTAAAATTTTGTGTATGTGTTGGGCATATGCGTGTGGAAGTCAGTTCATTCCTGCTGCTATGTAAGTCTCGAGAACAGAACTCAGTTAACAGGTTTGGCTTCAAGTCTTACTCTGTAGCCCTAGCTAAACACCTGTCGCAGTTTTGTTTTGTTTTTAACATTTGAGAATCTCACATCATGCATCGCCAATCATGCTCACCTCTCAGTTATCCCATGTCTACCCTCCCCTCCTGTTCCCCTCCAAAGAGGGGAAAAACAGCCACAAAACTCTTCAAGTCCACTTTGTGTTGTCTATATCCTCACTGCAGCGTGGGCTAACTCCAGTGGCCAGCCCCCAAAAGGAAACTGAGCCCTTCAAGATGGAGTTTCTCTGGGTGGCTGTCCTGGAATTCACTCTGTAGACCAGGCTGACCTCTGCCTGGGATTGAAGTGCTGGGATTACAGATGTGTGCTACTGCACTCAGCCCCTAAACCTTCTTCCAGTAACTGTCTAGTGGGCACTGACAGTCTTCCGGGTCTCAATATGTAATTTATCTTAAAATTTACTTGTTTACTTCATTTCTGGTTTTAATTACATCTTTACTTTTTAATCTCTGACTTGTTTTGTGATCTTTTATTTCTTTTGTAGGCTTCATGAACAGTTGACTGAGTCAGAGCAGGCTGCCCAGTGTTACATCAAATACATCCAAGATATCTATTCCTGTGGGGTATGTGTCAGAGCATGAGAGCTGTCACTGACGGGTTCTTGTCACTTCAGTCATGTCTGCTTTCCTTATCTAGGAAACAGTGGAGCACTTAGAGGAGAGCACAGCCTTCCGCTATCTGGCCCAGTACTATTTTAAGTGCAAGCTGTGGGATGAAGCTTCAACTTGTGCCCAAAAAATGTTGTGCATTCAATGATGTGAGTATTAGGGTTTCAGTGATGTGATTTTAAAGGGTTTCAGATTTAGGCCAAAATGTACAGTCTTTACAATGTAGTGTAGGGAAACTTACTTGGACCTGTGGAAGTTATCCATTGAATAGTACCTTTTTTAAAAAGAGCATTCCTTTTATTTGTAAGGAATGATCTAAATAGTATTTTAATAACCAGATTTTGAGAATAGCATTGAACACATTTTTGAAACAGCTGTGACTTTGTTTCAGACCCGGGAAGAAGGTAAGGCCTTGCTCCGCCAGATCCTACAGCTTCGGAACCAGGGGGGAGACGCCCACCACTGACACGCCGGGTACCTTTTTCCTCCCTGCCTCACTGTCTGCAAACAACACTCCTACACGCAGAGTTTCTCCACTCAACCTGTCTTCAATCACACCGTAGTTGGCTCGTCAGCACATTGCTAGACCAGTATTAAACTTTACCTCCAGTAAAGAACAGCCACATCTGTTCTCCAAGGACCTGAGTTCTTCTCATTTTTAGACAGAAACAGCCTGGGAGATAGCCTATGGAACCACCTTGAGAGGCAGACAGAAATATGGCAAGGGACAGATAATGTCTTCTGCCAGCCAGCAAGTCTCCTTTCTATTCAGAATGGCAGGTCTTGGCCTTCCCATAGTGTCTCCACACCTTGACCCCCACTTGACTTTACAGCACTATACTAAGAAAGGGAAGGGAGTAAAAATTACCATGCTTCTGTTCCGGTAGTAGGGAGGTCAGCTTTGAACAATAATGGCTCTTTTAAGACAGGGTTTCTCTGTGTAGCCTAGGCTGGTGTCTCCCTGCCTCTGCCTCTCTAATGATAGGACTACAGGCATGCCATGAGGCCTGGCTAGAATAACTTTTATTTTGCTGAGTGTCCTCTATTCTCATATCAGAGATTAGGTTTTAATAAGAGTGGAGCTATCCATATGACCTTTGGGAGTTTTCAAAGGGAGTCTCCTAAAACCTTTCAAGTGGGGATCTGAATGAGCATGAACTGTGGCTCATAAACTGTTCCATGATGGAAACACAAGGAGACAAGATCACAGATAACTTCGTGGACATTTAAAAGTAATTTTTTTTTACTTCAGATATTAAGTTTTTATGCTGGTATCTTTTAGTAAATGCTTGATGTAATCATTTATTTTGTTTTTAATCTCTAAAAGAATACTTGGTTTCCAACCTTACCTACAAGGTTGAGGGAATCCTGTGTTCTTGTTGAGTTTTGAGTACCCTTTGATGCTGTGATGAGTTTGCAGAAGATGCTATAGATCATTCTGTTTAGGATCTAGCCTTCCTCTTGTATGTAGAACATTTTTATTCCCCTTTTAAATGTATGAAACATTAGCTAAGTGTGGTGGCACACATCTTTAATCCTAATATTTTGGAGACAGAGGTGGCGGACAGATATTTTGAGGCTAGCCTATATACAGCAAGGTCCAGGCCAGACCTAAAACCTACAAACTTTAAAACAACCCAAAACAAGAATACCCCTTGCCATTGTATTCATCTGTAGTGTATATTAGGCTGGTTTCCATTGCTGTTACTGTCTAAGGGTCCAGTGGATTAGATGGTATTTATATCACTTTTCTGTGCCCCTTTTTATATTTTTCTAAGTTTGGAATCCAAATAAAAAGCATAAACAGTATCTTTATTCCATATAATATTTGTGCAAGAAAAACAAGATTATATAGGTGATTATAATACAGTGATTCTGCGTAAAGTTCTGGGTATATGCTGCCGCTTAAAAGAGCCTCATAAGCTGAGCAGCTGACCAGCCTCAGGGCAACAACCGTGCATCTTATCTTCATCCCCACAACTTTAATATTTTTTGCCAAAAGGAGATTTGAGTAAAGGAGAGTGCCGTGAACGCAAGATCCGTGCATAAGGGCTGCTGTCTGTTGACCTTTGGCAGGTGGGTGTTCGGGGGAGTAAGTTTCGAAGGAATGGTTTCTTTCCTGGGGGTTGATTTGGTTGCTGGTTTTCCTGGTTTGCTCCCAGCCGCTTTTTGACAGAAGCCTGGCTTTGAAGCTTCTGTACAGTGTGATACTGCTCAGCAATGCAGGCTGCCTTTTTCTGAAGGTCCAGTTTCACTAGCATCATGTTATTTTGTAGCTCAGCCAGGGTCTGGTTCTAAGAACATTAAAGTTAGAGTAAGCATTATAGAAAAAAACAAATACCATAATTTCTAGACTCTACCTAGGTAACAAGTGCCATGTTTAGTCTAAAGTGTACATTTTTATTTAGCATTTTAAGATGACTTATTGATGAAGAATGTCATAGTGTAGTGGTAGAGTGCCTGCTTAACATCCAGAGAACCCTGGGCTCTCGGTTCCCTTGTCACATACACACTGGTGTGGGCTGGAAAGGAGAGCAGGGAGAAGGGGCAGGGTAGCTAGGTTGCCCTCACCTGTTTGATTAAGATGTCATCACAGTTGGTCAAAGCTTGACGAAGTTTTCCTGCCCCCGTGCTGTGGCAACAGGCCCTTTCTGCTGACTGGAGAGATTGCCCTAGTTTCTGAAGTTCTGTCCGTAGCAGCCTTATATTCTGAAAGAATAGGAATCAGTTGAAGACAGACTTAGGAGGCTGGGGGCTGGTGAGGGCACCCCCAAGCCCAACATCTGAGTTCAATCCCACATTACCACGTACAAATAAGTAAAGATGAAGCAAAAACAAATAGCCATTCCTCAGGACTCTTGTACAAAAAACAAAGCCCACCTTACTCTCACAAAAACCGTTGATGAAAGGCTTTGAAAACAGAAAAGTTAAATACCTTCTGGCCCTCTTCTAATTTCTTATCCACATCAATGGTGAAGGGCTTGGCTGTGGGTGGTGGTTCTAACATTTGCTGATACTTCTGCAGCTCTGAGGGAGGAAAACACGGAATATACAGAACATTTAATACATGGGCTTTTCAGCTGTGGGCTTTTAACACTAGCAAGTAGACAAAGTGAGGCCATGGGCATCCGAGAGTAAGCTGTGGTAGATATAGCTTAGATTTGGGAGTCAGAACTAAAAGTTTGAATAACAGCTCTCCCTCACCCACTGCCACTGTCAGGCTTCCTGCCTTCCTTGCTCACCTTTTGTGGTAGAGTTTAGCTCTGCGTTGCATTGGTCTAGCTTAGCTTTAACTTCCTGGAGCTGCTGATTGGAGGCAGAAGCTGCCAACCTTTCTGACCGGCGTAGGGACACTTCAGAGCCCCCTGACTGCTGTGCCGCTGGCTGCTGTTTGGCTTCCTGCAACAGGGTTTCTAGCTCTTCAATTTTTTCATCCCGCTCCTAAGAGGCAAGCAGAGAGCACAATTCTGTCCAGGATCAGACAAATACCAAAGAACCAGATTATATGAACATAAGCTTTCTAGACATTTCAATTTGACCTTAAGCCTATTAGCACTCTTTTGTGGCAAACTAATCTTGAATTTAAACTCAACAGCTATAAGGCACTAAGGGAAATTAATAAAAGGAGTGAGGTTCAATCTCAGAAATACATAGATAATCAGGAGGTTAGGGGATCTGAGTTCAAGACAAGGCCAGCCTTGAACTGGTCTACAAAGCAAGTTCCCAGGACAGCCAACACTCTGTTACATAGAGAAACCCTGTCTTGAAAAACCAAACCAAACCAAACCAATCAACCAACCAACCAAACAAAAACAAGTGAAAGTAAAAATTTATCTCAGACAACCAACCGATGGAAGTCTGAGTGGCAGTTGGGACTAGTTGGGGTAACCTCACCTGAATCTCTTCTTGGTAAAAACTCGTCAGTGATTCCTTTAGGATCTTTAGTTTCTCCTCATAGGTTTCCTCCAACAGTTCCCTTTGGGTGTCCAAATGCTCGCTGTCAGAAAAGGGTTGTGAGAAGTGAGACAAACACTGGGTCCCAAGCCCCTCTGTCCCCTACCCCAGGAAAGGGGGTCATTCAGCCAGTACCTGCACCACTGCTCCCGTTGTTGCATCTGCTCTATCATCTCGTTGCAAATTTCCTCACGGAGCTGCATCTCCAGCTGCAGTTTTTCCTGTCGTTCTTTTAAAAGTAACATTTTCATGGCTTCCACCACCTGCAGCAGCTCCTAGGAAGAACGTGTGAGAGAGAGCATAAGCAAGCTCCTGCACCAAAAGGCCCCAGTCCACTGGGAACAGCACCCTGTGGAGATGCAGCCATCATGCTGCTATTTTAGAGCTCTTGTATCCTCACCTCCTTGCCATACATGGAGATGTCAGTGTCACTTTCAGGATTGTCATCAAGGCCTGAGTCAGCCTTGTCCCCTTTCTTTAAGCCAGGGGATACCTGAAGACTGTGTTCCTTGATGAGTGAATGCAGGGATGGGATTCCCAGATGCACAGGTGGGGCGTGCACAAGCTAGAGGAGGAAAATGAAACAAACCTTAATTGACTCCTTAACTGGTCCCTAAGAGTTACTTTAAGATTGCCAGGCCTTTTGGGTAGTGGTGGCACACGCCTTTAATCCTAGCACTCTGGAGATTTGAGGCCAGCCTGTTCTACAGGATGAGTTCAGGACAGCCAAAGTTACACAGTGAAACCCTGTCTCAAAAAAAAAAAAAAAAAGAAGAAAAGGACTGACAGTCCAAAGTAAATAGAATCACTATGTCTACAGCTTCTCACCTGGCTAGCCAGAGCTGAGAATTTGGCCATGTGAAGAGTCTCGTCATATGTTGATGCACAGGGATTCACATTGACAATCATACAGGAACGGCCTCGTCCTGTGAAGAAGCCTTGGAACACACGAGTCAACTTGCTGTCCCGGAAAGGAATCAGGTTCTGCTTTGACCTGGCATAGAATCAAATAGCATTGTCAACACAATTACAGCCCTTGAGGGCTATCCAAGCAGCATCCTGAGTGCTGACCTGGAACTGAGCAAATTGCCAGGGCCCAGACCATCCCAGCCTGTGGCTTACCGGTTCTGCTGATTTTGTCTCAGGGCAGCAATACAGCGGCCCAGTGTGTGCAGGGAAGTGTTAATGTTCCCAGCTTCCTTTAGCCGTTCACCACTCTTTTGATCTTTGCAGCGCTCTGAGCCAGCCAAATCACAGAGTGACAGTCTGGAATAAAGCACAAGACCTCAAGGCTCATACGGAACCCACAGCTTATATAGTTCTGGTAAGGGAAGGACCTATCAAAGCTTTTTTTATTCAACGAAGGAAAACAACTAATTCCTTTGAGAAGTTCCCTTTTGCCCCCACTGTCAGGTGGTCAAGATGATCAAATTTGTAAGTGGGAAAACTTACTCACTGATCTTGGGCACTATATCTCCTTCTCCCTGAAGGTGTAAGATTCTGATTGAGAAGATGCTGTGACTGAAAAAGAAAAGAGAAAAATCACTCTAAGTCTTCCATGGTCAGCTGGAGGGCCAAAGATTCCTAGACACTGTTAACTCTCACAACTCACCTACGACTCGAGTGTTGGTTCAGGTGGGTGCTAGCAAAGCTCTGGTTCTTACGGCCCACTTTTAAGAGTTTCCAGGCTTCCTCAACATCTTGAACATGAATCCAATTGAGGTCTGGGGCAAAGAAAGGTGGGAACACTTAGTCCCTTTTCTAGTTTCTCCACATGTCCCTCCAGGTCTCCTGCCAACTTCCTCTACCATTGCATACCTTTCACGTAAGGATTGCCATTTTGATCCTCGCACAGCCGCAGTGTCTGCCTCTTATGCTGATGGCTAGGTGGCTCTAACAGGTCATAAAGCAGTTCGTTGTAGATTTCAAAGAAAGAGATCCAGACAGAGAAGCGAATGTCTGCTGGGACACTTACTGGGGCAGTGTCTGGCTGTGCCCATGAATGACTTGTTTCTGTGAGAAAAACCAATGTGTACATCATTAGCCATGGAGCATTAGTGACCATCTTGCCTTGGTCTATAGGACTTCAAAAGATGAAATTCAGGTTGCAATCACTGATCTGTGCCCCTTACAGCTGTTCAGAGTAGGCAAGTGGTTCCCCACCACTGCCCAGCACAAAGCCCACTCGTGATACACACCATCCAGCTGGCTACTGCTGGTGAACTGACTGCTGGAGGAGAGCCCAGCCACGCCACTGTCAAAGCTGGTGCTCGTGCCTATCCGACTTTCAATATGGCCACGTTTTTTCAAGGTGGACAGCTCCTCCTGAAGGGGCACAGAGAGAAGATAAGCACTAATCTTTCCTGAGATCTGTACTCTATCCCAGCTTCATAAATACTTCACCTCATGGAGGCCTCCAGTCAGCAAGGACAGCTTTTTTATTTCCTCCTGTCGAATCTGCTTGCTGTCTAGCCAAATTACTTCATTGGAGAGTAAGGGCTTCAGATCAGGTGTTGGATGAAGTTGGCCTTGGAGACTATTAAAGATGAGAGCCAGGGACCGGGGCAGGATCCCCCCATCCTTAATAGTACCTGGAATATTATTATTATTATTATTATTATTATTATTATATTATTATTATATTATTAGAGATAGTATCTTTCAGTAAGGTATCAAAAGGCAAAGGGGACCATAAGATGCCTGTTGGAGGATGTTTTTGTGCACTGTGTCATTCAAATGCTGATTTCTGTACCCAGAGATCTAGTTGCAGTTTCGGCTTTGGCACTGTTATTATAAACTCTTGGTATGTTGTAAACATCATTCTCCATCACCTTCTGACTGGTCAAATAAAGGGCTGAATGGCCAATAGCTGTGCTGGAGACAGGACTTCCAAGCCCAGACAGAGGACAGTGACAGAGATAGAGAGTCTTAAGTGGGGACCAAGAGGAGTCACCATCAGGACAGGGATGAAGGAGGAGCAGTCAAACAGATGGCAGGTAACATGCCACGTGGCTGGGAATTAGGCCATGCCAATATCATCCAGTTAGAATAGCTAAGTATCTGCCCAGCTATAGTACCTGAAACTTTTAATATAAAGGTCTCCATGTTATTATTCAGAGCTAGGACAGGCAAACTGTACTTAGCCAGGCGCAGTGGCACACATCTTCTATCTCAGCACTCAGGGAAGCAGAGGCAGGGGGATCTCTTAGAGTTCAAGGCTAGCCTGGTCTACAAAATAAGTCCATAACAGCCCAGGCTATACAGAGAAACCCTGTCTCAAAAAACCGGACTTTTACATATAACATCTGACAACCCTGCTGAAATTACTTACCTTGAATTGTGTAGGTTTTCCCCGAGTTGGTGACACCATATGTGTATATGAGCCAGTTCTGTCCTCTGAGTACATCCTTTACCATCTCCTTCACAGTCAGGTTAAAGAAGGACGCCTGACCCACTTCTGGACCAAATATCTAGAAACAGACGGGTTTCTCAGAGGCCACATGTCAAAGTAGATATATTCCTTCTCTGGCTTTCCTGTTGGACTCCAGCTGTTCCTAAATGCTAAAGACTCTGCCACTCTCTGCTGGTCCCTTTCATCCAAGTTAAATACTTAAGGAGTGCTTTAAGTGTGTTGGACGCTGTGCACACGAGGGGATAATACTGTTGGTTGTATCCTTGGGTTTGGAGATGGATCCCAGTTCCATCTCTACCACTGACGCTCAATAGCTTCAGTAGAATTAACTTCTCTGTAATGTGGACCATAGTATTTATTTTTAATTTTTTTTAATTTAATTTAATTTTTTTTTTTTTTTTTTGGTTTTTTTTTAGACGGGGTTTCTCTGTGTAGCCTTGGCTGTCCTGGACTAGCTCAGTAGACCAGGCTGGCCTTGAACTCACAGAGATCCACCCACCTCTGCTTTCCTGAGTGCTGGGACTGGATTATAGGCGTGCAGCACCACGCCTGGCTAGCCCTTGTATTCTTGCCAAGAGGAGAGGGGTGACAGTAATAACAACCTCAATGGGAATTCATGTACATAGAGTCCCTGACACACTGACCAGCATATAACAAGTTACAGACACACGCATATAAAGAGCTGACACTCTAGGCTGGAGAGTGGCTCAGGGTTCAGAGCACTGGCTGCTCTTCAGGGGACTCGGGTTCAATTCCCAGCACCCACATGGCAGTTCACCACTGTCTGTAACTCCAGTTCCAGGGGATTTGACACCCTCACACAGACACATGCAGGCAAAACAATGCATATAAAATAATAATAAAAAAGGAGAGAGAGAAAAAAAAAAAAAACAAACCTGACAGTCAAGTAGTTTTTTAAAGAAGAAATGAAATTTCCCCTGAGTGTTGGGTCTTCGGTCCTACACCAGTATTCATACCTGGGAAAAGGTGAATTTGTGGGTGGCTTGACCAATTCCCCTCTCATTGCTCTTCAAGGCAAAGGAGTCTTTGGGTGCTTGTAGCAGAAGGGTCTCTGTGTTCTCAATATGGACACAGCCCTGAGAAGATAGAAAGAAGCTGGCAGAGTAAAACACGCATTCCCAGGGAGCCTCTTTTGCCCTATACCAATCTACCTTAAGTCCTTACCTGATCTTCCTGACGGTCCAGCTCAGAAGTTAAGAAGGGTCTGATTCGAAGGAAAACTTTCACCTTCTCTGCAGCGTCTTCAGATGGAGCCTGTAACAGATTCCAGCCAGGCCACAGAGTTCACCTCTGAACAAATGGTTAAACAGCCTAGTTCCTAGGAGGAACTGCATTTCACTTTAAGTGGCCCTGACAGCTGTCCTTTGGTTCCAGAATCATTCTAGCTCACATGAACTGTGTTACCCTTCCCTGTTTCATTACTGCCCTGCAAACCTGGCTTGCTGGACCAATGATCTGAGTTAGAATTGGTTGAGATTTGAAAATAGGCAAGTACCAGGTATGGTGGTGTGTGCTTGTAATCCTAACACCCAGTAGTAGGTGGAGATAGGGGGATTAGAAATTTAAAGCCAGCCTTGACTATAAATACCATCTCAAAGCATGTACATTTATTTATTTATTTATTTTTGTTTGTGAAGGTGTTGGATCTACTGGCATATGGAGTTACAGGCAATTGTGAGCCATTCAACGATGTGTCCTGAAGCTAACTTGGGTCCTCTGGAAGAGCAGAAAGGGCTCTTGACCCTGAGCCATCTCTCCAGCTCTGATCAATAAAATTTTTTTCAAAGCTCAGTAATGAGAATTGAGTTAATAAAATGGCTCAGCTTGCTGAACAGGCTTGCCAACTTGAGTTTAATCACAGGAATCCACATAAAGACATGAGTCTGACTTCCACATGTGTGTATCCCCTTCACATATGCATACATACAATAGTAGACACACCTGAATTTGAGCTCAATTTCATCATGTAGTAATTAGGAGATCATGAACAAGTTCTGAGTGACTCATCTGAAGGATGAAGTTGAACAGCAACCGCTCCACTTATTCAGCAGATACTTAAGAGAATATCTCTGCATGCCCAAGGACACTGACTTTTAACTAGGGAAAAGCTATTGCATTAGTGCATAAAGGCCAGAAACTGTGCTAAACATCTTGCCAAGTACAGGGCAGCCCCCTCCAACAAGATTTGGCTTCAAACATCAACAGTGCTAAAACTGAGAATCATTGGTCTTGCAAAAGAAAGGCTAAAGAAATGACAGCTATGATTATTACTGAAACAATTCCATTCTACCTGCTTAAGGCCACCATGATTCCCTGAAAATAATTGTATGTGGTGCTGGTATCTGAACCTAGGACACACCAAACATACACTCTCATAGCCTCCACCCTTGTACCTCTTATTTAATATATATAAACAGCCTGTATACTAGAGAAATAAGATTATTTGTCATCAATTTACTGAAAGCATTATGCACTTGGGTATTGTATTTCATGAATACAATGCCAATAATAACCTTATGGACACAGACTATTTTTTACTTTGCCCTCTTTTTTGTTTTTTTTTTCAAGGTTTCTCTGTGTAGTTCTGGTTTTCCTAGAACTCACTTTGTAGACCAGGTTGGCCTTGAACTCACAGAGATCTGCCTGCTTCAGCCTCCCAAACGCTGGGGTTAAAGGCATGCACCACAATGCCTGGCTTGGCGCTTAGTTTTAAATTTTGATCTTCCATTTACTTAGGATTACTGGCCTTTGATCTCATACTACCTTGTACAAAGAACTATTAAGCCCCTAAGAACTTTCTGCCCCGAAGTCACTCAACTCCTTTACCTGTTTGTCCTCCAGAGAGGTGGAGATGACAGAGCAGTCTGACAACAGGTCCTTTCGGATCACAGACCTCAGATCCGCAGCTGTGGATTCAAACATGGGGGAGACTACAACATCTTCATCAGACAGTAAGCCCACCGGCGGAGAAAGGATCCCATGAGACATGACAAGCACAGCCTATGTCTGAAAACAGACAAGCGTAGATGGGAGAAGAACGTTAACGCCCAGAAACTGCAAACCTGTAGGCTAAAAACAACCCCCCCGGGCGGGATGCCCTTGCTTAGGACGCTCGGTCACGACTCTACACCATTAACAGCCAACGGGAAGAGGATGAGAAGGACTAAAACAATTCAGCCCGGGGCAGTATTTCTGAAGATTTGCGGCGCTAGAGGGAGAAGGCCACGCTCCACACAGGCTGTCTACGGGCCCGCCGGGGCAAGTGTGCTTCAGCTCCCTGGGGCACTTTTCCAACCTTCAGGGCCTGTGGCACGCAGGAAAGGGCCGACAGCCGGAGCTCCGGCCCAGTCGCACTCACCCGAAGACGGGATGCCTCCCTGCTCTCCGATGCCAGCTCCCACCCAGCTGCAGAACCGCGACTCCCGCGGCCGGAGAACGCGACTCCGCCCACGAGGACCAGCTTTGTTCCCCGTACAATGTTTTAAATTGCGCGCTGAGCTCGTCCGGCCAATCACAGAGCGAAGCCTGAAGCAACCAATCACTAAAGGGGGAGCGGAGCCGACCGGGAGACCGTTTGCTCTAATGTGGGTCCGGGTTACCAACTGCCACGAGTTCCTAGGTAAACGCTAAGGGGTTCGTCTCGGTTAACTATCTCCGGATCTAGACGTTTCTTTCCTGAGGCTTCGGCTGCGATCCCTTGTCCTTTATTAGTAAAAATAAATTTTTTTTCCCCTAAAGTGAATTCGCTTCTACTAGGGCAAATGACCCACCCACATTACCCAGGAGGCACCGCGAACGGACGCCGGTCCTGTGTTTCCCATCGTCCCCCGCGTCCCTCGCAAACGTTGAAGACGTCGGAGCCAAAATGGCGACCGGGACAGGCAGTGAGTATCGGAGCTGCGTTTACGCCGAAGGCCTGTGCAGCGTGGAGGCCGGGCGTGCCGTTTCCGTCACGCACGGAGGGGTTTGCAGGAGCGGGCTGTCAGAGGGCGGCGTCCTCGGGACCCCGCCGGGGTCCCCGGTGCCGGGGGGAAGCGGAGAGCGGCCGTCCGGGAGGCCTTTGTGTGCTAGGCGCGGTCTAGGGTGAGCAGTGTCGGGCGGCCCGCGCGCCAGCCGTTCCTCCGGCCGAGCTGGCGTCTGTTCAGCCGGGGAGAACAAATACCCGGTTCCTGTATTTCAGACGTCTTTCCCCGGTTCCGCAGACGGACTGTTTTTCTCCCCGACAGTTAGGGGGGCGGGGCTGGGAGGTAAACAACTTTATGCAAAGGAGGAGGTGGGCGGTTTGCTGCCGGGGGCCGCTGGGAATCTTGGGAAACGGGCTTGCGTTCGAACGGGAATGAAAACACTGGGTTCTTAAGGAGAACACGTGTCCTGGCCAATAGTGGCTGTATTTCATTGGAATGGTGAAGATCAAGGTTTGGTGATAATAATTGATGGTAGTGGTTCACACTGTTCGAAGAAGTTTGAGAGTTACTTATTTCGATGCAGACTTTTACTGTGTGACTGAACCTGCCTGGCCTGGAACTCACCATGCAAACCAGGCTAGTCCCACGGTCACAGAAATTTGAATGTGTCTGCTTCCCGAGAACCAGGATTAATGTTTCATTCTCGGCCTACGATGTTATTTTATAGCAGGCTTTTCGCTGTTCGGGGGCTTAGAACTAGCTCAGTGGTGGTGTCTAAGCCTTTTTTATTCCCAGAGCACAAGCTGCTGAGTACTGGCCCAACAGAGCCATGGTCCATCCGAGAGAAGTTGTGTTTAGCATCTTCTGTCATGAGAAGTGGAGATCAGAACTGGTAAGGCATCTAAGCTATCTGATTTCTTGAGCTGAAGTACTGAGTTTGTTTGTTTGTTTGTTTGTTTGTGACAGAGTTTTGTTTTGTTTTGTTTTTTTTGTAACCCTGGTAATTTTAGAATTCACACTGTAAACCAGGCTGGCCTGAAGTCAGAGATTGCCTGCCTCTGTCGTCTTAGTATTGGAATTAAAGGTGTGTGCCATTAAGCTGGGCAGGACTATTTTTCACTTCAGTGTATTACTTTATTAAGTTACATTAAGCTACATGGAGTAGTTAGCTTTACCAAAATACAAACCGCATACCATAAAATAAGTGTATTAAAAGTGGGGATTTTGATAGTCTCTCCTATTTTCACAAATTTGTGCAGCCATCCCTGCAATCTAATTTAATCTTTAAAATAAATCTCTTACATTTCCCTCTCCTCTCTTTTCTGAGAAGTCTACTTTTTTCCCTATAGTTTTGCCTATTTTGAACATTTCCCATAGGTATAATATGTAATCTTCTGGGACTAATTTTTTAGTCACCTAGCAACACTTTCAAGGTTTATTCACATGTAATTTGTGTTAATACTTCTTTTCTAGTTTTGGCTAGATAATAGTATGAGTCAGCCTTTCCATATCTCTGAAGAATTTGTTCCAGGATCCTTGAGGATATAAACATAATTCCTTACCATAAGATGCCTCATATTTGCAAGTACACAACACTTACTTCAAATTATCTTTAGATTATATTACCTAATACAGGGTATATTACCTAATACAATGAAATAGCATGTAAATGGTTTAAGGTAGGGGATCTCAACCTGTGGGTCATGATACTTTGTCAAACTTCTATCTCTGGTAATATGTGCATTACAATTCATAAGAGTAAAATGACAGTTATGAAGTAGCAACGAAAATAATTTTATGGTTGGGGGTCACTACGGCATGAGGATCTGTATGTTTGGGGGTCACTACAACATGTGTTGTATTAAAGGGTAACAGCATTAGGAAGGTAGGGAGTAAGTTTGTACATGTTCAGTACAGGCACGGGTTTTTATTTCGTTTGTTTGTAGAGATGATCACAATGTCCATCCTAGGCTGAGGAAATCCCAAGAGTGGATATCCCCTAGCTATGGACAGTGAGCAATGTATTTATTACCTGTCATTTGGGCTTCCCCCTTGGGGCGGATGTGATTTAGGTCTTTATGGACTTACTCCTCAGTTTCCCTGTGTTCCCACCCAAGTAGTTGAGTCTCTGGGTCATGTGGTAGCTCCAGGTCTAACTTTTTGGAGGAACTGCCAAACTGTTTTCTTTAATGCATTTTAAAAATTATGTATGTTTAGCTGTGTGTTGGGTAGGGGTGTGGGCACATGAATGCAGAATTCCTTGGGAGCCAGAAGAGGACATCAGAGTCCTTGGAGTTAGTGTTACAGGCAGTTGTGAAACATCTGATATGAGTTCCTAGATTCTACCGTCTTACTAACACTTATTACCATCCTATTACAGCCATCAAACTTTTTTTTTTAAACTCTGTAGACTGGGCTGGCCTCAGTCTCACAAAGATCCTTCTATCTTTTTTCTTCTGAGTGCTAGATTAAAGGCATGTGCCATCATGCCCAGCAAAACAGTATAACCCAGGCTGCCTGCTATTTCAGCTTATCCTACTAGCTTGTGTCACCACAACTGCAAGTTCAGACCTTTTTTGTGTTTGTTTGTTTGTTTGTTTGTTTGTTTGTTTTTCAAGACAGGCTCTTGCTATGTAGCTGTGGCTGTCCTGAAACTCACTATATAGAAAGACTAGGTGGGCCTGAAACTCAGAAATCTTTTCCTGCCTCTGCCTCCTGAACACTGAGGTTAAAGGTATGAGCCAGTACAACTGGCTCAATCCCTTTTTTTATTTTTTCTCTTAGCTAAGCTACATTCAAACTCTGTAGCCCAGGATGACCTTAAACTCCTGATCCTGCCTCTACCTTCTGAATACCAGGATTTCAGGCATGTACCGTGAGGCCCAGTTTTTGTAGTACAGATCAGAACCAAGGTTTCATTCATGCAAGGCAGGTACTCTTGTCAACTGAACTATATCCTCATCCACTCCAGTTTCTTTATTTGCTTCACTATATTTCTTTACTTTTATAGTAGCCATGCTAATAAATCATCTCATTACAGATTTTTTTTTTTACAGTTATTTGTATGTTTGCGTGCATGGATGGAGGTCAGAGGACAACTTGCGGGATTTGATTCTTTCCACATTGTGGGTTCTGGGGATCAAACTCAGATCATTAGGCTTGGTAACAAATGTCACTTATCTTTACCAGCTGAGCCAACTCACTGTACTTTGGTTTTGATTTTTAAGACAGGGTGTATATATCTAGTCCAGGCTGGCCTAGAGCTCAGTGATTCCCCTTTTCATTCTCCTCACCTGGAATTACAAATGTGAGCCATCACATCTAGTTGCTTATTATTTTCAGTTTGTTTTTGTTTTTCTCTACAGGGTTTCTCTGTTTAGCCTGCTGTCCTTAAACTCACTATAGACCAGGCTGGCTTTGAGCTCATAGATATCCACCTGCCTCTGCCCTGGAGTAATGAGATTAAAGGTTTGTGCTACCACCATCCAGCATCTTATTATTGTTTTGATATGCGTTTTCTGATGAACCATGTATGGTAATGAATATCTTTTCGTGTGGCTACGTAGGCATTGTATATCTGTGGAGAAATTTATGCTCAGGTTTTTTTTGTTGTTGTTGTTCATTTGTGTTTGGTTGAATTTCTTTCCTTAATTGCATTATAATTCTTTGTGCATTCTGATGCTAATCCTTTAATTTGCAACTATTTCTCCTATTTTATATATTATATTTATACTTTTTTTTTAAAAAATAAACAATCTTTCAATCACTTATTTTACTTTTTTTTTCCTCCCCCAAGACAGGGTTTCTCTTTGTACACTAGGCTGGCCTCAAACTCACAGAGATCCGCCTGCCTCTGCCTCCCAGAGTGCTGGGATTACAGGCATGCACCACCATGCCCAGCTACACTTATTTTACTTTTTATGTATATGAGTTTTGTCTGCGTGTACATAACCTATGTGTAGGCTAGAAGAGGGTGTGAGTTCCCTAGAACTGGAGTTACAGGTAGTTTTGTATATCAGTACTGATAATTGAACCAGGTCCTCTGGAAGAGCAGCCTGTGATCTTAACCACTGACTTATCTCTCCAGCAGGTCTTTATACTTTTTTGATTGTTATTGTTTACAAACAAAAGTTTTGAAACTTTATTTTCAAAATAGGGTCTCTCTACATTGCTCTGGCTGTGCGGAACTCATGATATAGACCAGGCAGTCCTTGAATTTACAGAGATCTGTTTGCTTCAGCCTCCCACATGCTGGGATTAAAGGTGTGAGCCATCAGGCCCAGCCAAAAAGTTTTTAATTCTAACTGATAACCAGTTTAGTTTCTTGTATTGCTTAGCTTGAGAATCAGCTAGGAAATTACCTATCTGGCCTTTTTTGTTTGTTTGTTTGTTTGTTGGCTTTTATTATTAAAAGATTATCTTTTTAGATTTTCTTATTTATCTTATGCATATGAGTGCTCTGTTTTCATGCACAACAGAAGAGGGAATCCAATTCCATTATAGATGGCTGTGAGCCACCATGTGGTTGCTGGGGATTGGACTCAGGGCCTCTGGAAGAGCAGCCAGTGCTCTTAACCGCCG